GCTCTTAAAGGACGATCGTTTTGACTGTTGACCGTGACACCCTCATCAGAAAAATGTCCAACATGAGAAAAGTGGAGCCGAGTGCAGGATTTTACAACAAAAATGTATTTATTCCTATTTGCAAACAAGTTCATGTTAAAACATTGTGTTGAAATTGGATTTTTCTTAAAGTTTCAGGTTGTTCATAATATTATAATATTATTGTAAAAGAAAGAGTTCATCAATTAAAAAAGATTTCTGTAATTTTGTGTTTCTCTGCACAAATATTTGAACTTAATGTTATTTTTGGGGTTTTATATGACATGAGTTTTCTGATCCGGCCCCTTTGGGATCAAAGTAGGTTGGATACGGCCCCCGGACCAAAATGAGTTTGACACCCCTGATCTACCAACTGAGCTACTGCCGCCCCTAAATGTTGTGCTTCACTGAATAAACTTTTACTGACTGCATATCCGCCCATTTTTTCCAAACAGTTTGGTAGAACTAAAGAATCTGACACTATTGTTTTTTGCTTTTGCTTTGTAAACGTTGTTTTTAAAAGTGCTTTATAAATAAAGATTTATCATTATTATTATTATTATTATTATTATTAGTATAACCTCTGGAAGTGTCATTGTAACCAGCGAAACAATATCATTTTCCAATTCGCGCTCCCAAATCAGCGTAAACACACCAAACCGCCGTCTCGAGTGTCCGCCGTCTTTTATCCGCCCTGAATCGCCTCGTCACTTTTACAGTGTATTTTTCCATCCTTCTTAATGTCGGATTAGCTCTTTCATTGTGTGACAAATTACCGTAACTGATCTTCTCGTCTCACCTCCAGATCGAGCGCGTTCTGGCCTGACATGTGACGCGCTAATTGCACGGCCGCGAAAAAAAAAAAAGAGCGCACACAAAGCACAAAGCAAAGCGCACACAGCGGGGCCTTGTAATCACAGCGATCGCGAGGTGAGGCGGTGGTTTTTTGTTTTGTTTTTTTTCTTTTCGGGGGGGGGAGGGTTATTGTTCCGGATTTGGGACGGCGGAAAAAAAAGGAAAAAAACATCCCGTCGGAGGAATGAGGATGAGTTAAGGGGAAGGAAGTGACGAGATGCGCCGACATAAACAAGTGTGGACACAAGCGTTCTGTAAACACGGGTAAATATAGAAGGGTTTAACGGCGAGGGAGGCTAAATATGGGTTTGGAGAGGCTTGGGAACGAGAAATTCCGATTTAAAGTGGCAAATAAGACACTAGGACTCCCAAAAACATCGAAAATCTGACACAAATTGATGCTTAAACCTTCCAGAACTAAGAACAATTTTAGCACATTTGTCCTCGCCTTTTAGATTTTTAAATTTAAAACAGTGAGAGAGAGAAGAGTGAAAGTGTTTTTCAAAATAAAACCAAAAATAAGAAAATGGAAGAAAAAAAAAATATTTTCTTCATTATTTGTCTCCAAAACCTAAATGAAAAATACGTTTAATAGTTTTCCGGACTGAACCAAGACTAAACCAGGTTTAAACCAGGACTAAACCAGGACTAAATCAGGATTAAACCAGGACTGAATCAGGACTAAATCAGGACTAAACCAGGTCTGAACCAGGACTAAACCAGGACTGAATCAGGACTAAACCAGGACTGAATCAGGACTGAACCAGGACTAAACCAGGACTAAACCAGGACTAAACCAGGACTGAATCAGGACTAAACCAGGACTGAATCAGGACTGAATCAGGACTAAACCAGGACTAAACCAGGACTGAATCAGGACTAAACCAGGACTGAACCAGGACTAAACCAGGACTAAACCAGGACTGAATCAGGACTGAACCAGGACTGAATCAGGACTGAACCAGGACTGAACCAGGACTAAACCAGGACTGAATCAGGACTAAACCAGGACTAAACCAGGACTAAACCAGGACTGAACCAGGACTGAACCAGGACTGAAACAGGACTAAACCAGGACTAAACCAGGACTGAACCAGGACTAAACCAGGACTGAATCAGGACTGAATCAGGACTAAACCAGGACTGAACCAGGACTAAACAGGACTGAATCAGGACTGAACCAGGACTGAACAGGACTAAACCAGGACTAAACCAGGACTAAACCAGGACTGAACCAGGACTAAACCAGGACTAAACCAGGACTGAATCAGGACTGAATCAGGACTAAACCAGGACTAAACCAGGACTAAACCAGGACTAAACCAGGACTGAATCAGGACTGAACCAGGACTGAACCAGGCCTGGATTTTTTTTTCTAAATTTTGCTTTTAAAACTCAAAATTTTACCTCCTAATGAAGCGTTATACATCATTTTTTTCAGTACAACCTGTAATTTCACCATCTGAATCTTGTAATTGTATCATATGCCTGTAATAAAAGCAACAGGAGCAAAAATACAAATGAAAATAAAATTCGCACTCACACAAAACACAAAGCAAACACTACTTTTTGGATGTAAAAAAAAGCTTAATTTAGGGTCTTAGCTACAAAAATGCAAAATATCAAGTTTGAAAGTGAACTAAAAAATATCCTTATGGTCCTTAAAACAAAAAAAAGTGCTGGTGTCAATCGTGGAAACAGCTCGTGTCAGGTTCAGGGCACAGAGCCACATCACTTCCTGTATTTCCATGTTGTTTATTACATTTATATTTGGACATTTGGACTGAAATAAACCAGAAAATAAAAATAGTGCAATGGGGATGTGCATTTACGCAGACCAAGATGCGTACTTTGACTTTTATTTGAGAAATAACTGCACTTAGAGCGGCTTTTTCAACTGTTACAAACAGAGCAGTCGACTATCTTGACTCACTACACTCTTTGGCAAAGTTTGGACTCATCAAAATGGACGAAGCGCAAGAATTGGACCGAAAGCAAAGATCCTATTGGACACTAATTTTCTACAGCGTGTTTAGGAAGCCTGTCAGTTTCTATCCTTTATGTTTGGAAAGTTCTGCATGGTTATAAAAAAAAACACATTATCAAGTATCGCACATAATACAGTCGGGCTGGAAGGATCAAGACCGGGTCCAAGCGCCTTCAAGACCGAGACAAGACCGAGTCCAAGCGCCTTCAAGACAAGACTGAGACAAGACCGGGTCCAAACGTCTTCAAGACCGAGACAAGACCGAGTCCAAACGTCTTCAAGACTGAGAACAAGACCGAGTCCAAGCGCCTTCAAAGACCAAGACCTTCAAGACCGAGACAAGACCGAGTCCAAGCGCCTTCAAGACTGAGACAAGACCGAGACAAGACGACAACAAGACCAAGTCAAACCTTCAAGACCGAGACAAGACCGAGTCCAAGCGCCTTCAAGACAAGACTGAGACAAGACCGGAGTCCAAAGTCTTCAAGACCGAGACAAGACCGAGTCCAAACGTCTTCAAGACTGAGACAAGACCGAGTCCAAACGTCTTCAAGACCGAGACAAGACCGAGTCCAAGCGCCATCAAGACCAAGTCCAAACGTCTTCAAGACCGAGACAAGACCGGGTCCAAGCGCCTTCAAGACTGAGACAAGACCGAGTCCAAGCGCCTTCAAGACCGAGCCAAGACCGAGTCCAAGCGCCATCAAGACCGAGACAAGACCGAGTCCAAGCGTCTTCAAGACGAGACAAGACCGAGTCCAAGCGCCTCAAGACCGAGACAAGACCGAGTCCAAACGTCTTCAAGACCGAGACAAGACCGTCAAAGACAAGACTGAGACAAGACCGGTCCAAACGTCTTCAAGACTGAGAGACAAGACCGAGTCCAAACGTCTTCAAGACCGAGACAAGACCGAGTCCAAGCGCCTTCAAGACCGAGACAAGACCGAGTCCAAGCGCCATCTCAAGACCGAGACAAGACCGAGTCCAAAACTCAAGACCGAGACAAGACCAAGTCCAAGTCTTCAAGACCGAGTCAAACACCTTCAAGACGAGACAAGACCGAGTCCAAGCGCCTTCAAGACCGAGACAAGACCGAGTCCAAAGCGCCTTCAAGACCAAGTCAAACACCTTCAAGACCGAGACAAGACCGGTCCAAGCAAGACTTCAAGACAAGTCAAACACCTTTCAAGACCGAGGACAAGACCGGAGTCCAAGCGCCTTCAAGACCGAGACAAGACCCGAGTCCAAGTGCCTTCAAGACCGAGACAAGACCGAGTCCAAAGCGCCTTCAAGACCGAGACAGAAGACCGAGTCCAAGCGCCATCAAGACCGAGACAAAGACCGAGTCCAAAGCACTCAAGTCCGAGACAAGACCAAATCCAAGTGCCATCAAGACCGAGTCCAAACACCTTCAAGACCGAGACAAGACCGAGTCCAAGCGCCTTCAAGACGAGACAAGACCGAGTCCAAGCACCTTTCAAGACCGAGACAAGACCGAGTCCAAGCACCTTCAAGACCGAGACAAGGACCGAGTCCAAACGTCTTCAAGACCGAGACAAGACCGAGTCAGAGCACCATCAAGACAAGACTGAGACAAGTCCGAGTTCAAATGCACTCAGTCCGAGAGAAGACCGAGTCCAAGCACCATCAAGACCGAGTCCAAGCGCCTTCAAGACCGAGACAAGAACCGAGTCCAAATGCACTCAAGTCCGAAACAAGACCAATCCAAGTGATCAAGACCGAGTCCAAACGTCTTCAAGACCAAGACAAGACCGGGTCCAAGCGCCTTCAAGACCGAGACAAGACCGAGTCCAAACACCTTCAAGACGAGACAAGACCAAGTCCAAAGTCCAAGACCAAGTCCAAACGTCTTCAAGACCGAGACAAGACCGAGTCCAAACACCTTCAAGACTGAGACAAGACCGAGTCCAAATGCGCTCAAGTCCGAAACAAGACCAAATCCAAGTGCCATCAAGACCGAGTCCAAACGTCTTCAGACCGAGACAAGACCAAGAGTCCAAGAGACAAAACAAACAAGCTCCATCAAGACCGAGACGAGACCGAGTCCAAACGTGCTCGAGTCCCAGACGAGACCGAGATGGTTCAAAAGTGCGACCCTCTCTCGCGTCGGTCTCCGTACCTCTGCTCCGTTGCGTTTCAGCGCCAGGTTTCGGGGCAGGGACCTCTCGGCTCGGCTCCTCCTGGGCTCCGGCTCCTCCTCGCGGCTCTTCTCCTTCTCGTCGTCTTCGTCCGAGGGCTGGTCCATCACGATGTAGGTGCACTTCTCCTCAAAGTCCTCCTCCGTCCACCCGCCCATGTCCTGCGGAGGGTCCATGTCGGCCGCGGGCTGAGGGGTCAACATGATGAGGAGCCCTGTGAGGAGCAACAACAACAACATCAACATCTCCGGGTTTTAAACGGACGTGAATTTTTAATTTTTAAATTTAAAACAGTGAGAGAGAGAAGAGTGACAAGTGTTTTTCAAAATAAAACCCAAAAAATAAGAAAATGGAAGAAAAAAAAAACTATTTTCTTCATTATTTGTCTCCAAAACCTAAATGAAAAATACGTTTAATAGTTTTCCAGACTGAACCAAGACTAAACCAGGTCTGAACCAGGACTAAACCAGGTTTAAACCAGGACTAAAAACAGACTAAACCAGGTCTAAACCAGGACTAAACCAGGTCTAAACCAGGTTTAAACCAGGACTAAACCAGGTCTAAACCAGGATTAAACCAGGACTGAATCAGGACTGAACCAGATCTGAACCAGGACTAAACCAGGACTGAATCAGGACTGAACCAGGACTAAACCAGGACTAAACCAAAACTGAACCAGGACTAAACCAGGACTAAACCAGGACTAAACCAGGACTGAATCAGGACTAAACCAGGACTAAACCAGGACTAAACCAGGACTGAATCAGGACTGAAACAGGACTAAACCAGGACTAAACCAGGACTGAACCAGGACTGAATCAGGACTAAACCAGGACTGAATCAGGACTCAACCAGGACTGAATCAGGACTAAACCAGGACTAAACCAGGACTAAACCAGGACTGAACCAGGACTAAACCAGGACTAAACCAGGTCTAAACCAGGACTAAACCAGGACTAAACCAGGTCTAAACCAGGACTAAACCAGGTCTAAACCAGGACTAAAACAGGACTAAACCAGGACTAAACCAGGACTGAATCAGGACTAAACCAGGTCTGAACCAGGACTGAATCAGGATTGAGACTGGGACCAGGACCAGGATTGAGACCAGGACTAAGACCAGGACTGAGATCGAGACCAGACTGGAACTGAGACTGGGACTTGGTTTAGACCTGTTTTAGTCCTGGGATCAGTCCTGGTTCAGTCCTGGTTCAATCACTGGTTTGGTCCTGGTCTGGTCCCAGTCTCGGCCCCTGGTCTTGGCCCCGGTCTCGGTCTCAGTCCTGGTCTGGTCCTGATCTGGTCCTGATCTAGTCCCAGTCTGGTCCCGGTCTGGTGCCGATCTCAGTCCTAATCACCCGACAGTCTACACGGACGCACCTTCGGACCCGTCCCAACACTCCTGGTCCAGTCCTGGTCCAGTCCTGGTCCAGTCCTGGTTCAGTCCTGCTTTAGTCCTGGTTTAGTCCTGGTTTAGTCCTGGTTTAGTCCTGGTTTCCTGGTTTAGTCCTGGTTTTAGTACTGGTTTAGTCCTGGTTTAGTCCTGGTTCAGTCCTGGTCCAGTCCTGGTTTAGTCCTGGTTCAGTCCTGGTTTAGTCCTGGTTTAGTCCTGGTTCAGTCCTGGTTTAGTCCTGGTTTAGTCCTGGTTTAGTCCTGGTCCAGTCCTGGTTTAGTCCTGGTTCAGTCCTGGTTTAGTCCTGGTTTAGTCCTGGTTCAGTCCTGGTTTAGTCCTGGTTTCCTGGTTTAGTCCTGGTTTAGTCCTGGTTTAGTCCTGGTTTAGTCCTGGTTTCAGTCCTGGTTTAGTCCTGGTTTAGTACTGGTTTAGTCCTGGTTTAGTCCTGGTTCAGTCCTGGTTTAGTCCTGGTTTAGTCCTGGTTTAGTCCTGGTTCAGTCCTGGTTGAGTCCTGGTCCAGTCCTGGTTCAGTCCTGGTTCAGTCCTGGTCCTGGTCCTGGTTTAGTCCTGGTTCAGTCCTGGTTCAGTCCTGGTTCAGTCCAGTCAGTCCTGGTTCAGTCCTGGTTCAGTCCTGGTTTAGTCCTGGTTCAGTCCTGGTTCAGTCCTGGTTCAGTCCTGGTTCAGTCCTGGTCCAGTCCTGGTCCAGTCCTGGTCCAGTCCTGGTTCAGTCCTGGTTCAGCCTTGGTTGAGTCCTGGTTTAGTCCTGGTTTAGTCCTGGTTTAGTCCTGGTTCAGTCCTGGTTCAGTCCTGGTTCAGTCCTGGTCCAGTCCTGGTTCAGTCCTGGTCCAGTCCTGGTTCAGTCCTGGTTTAGTCCTGGTCCAGTCCTGGTCCAGTCCTGGTTCAGTCCTGGTTTAGTCCGGTCCTGGTTTTATCCAAATGTAACATAAAGACTATTATACTTTAAAAAAAAAAAATTGATTCAAGATTTTTGGGTCACTTTGGTCCTGGTTTGGTCCTGGTTTGGTCCTGGTTTAGTCCTGGTTTGGTCCTGGTTTAGTGCTGCTGTAGACTTGGTTTGGTCCAGTTCTAGGTCCTGGTCTAGTTCCGGGTTCTTTCACAGTTCAGTTCTGGTTTTGAAGGGGTCTAAAAAGTGTGAACTCCTCCTCAACTGTGGTTTTACTCTGCGTACGTCAGGGCAGATTAAGTGTTATTTTAAAAAGTGTCACTTTCATTCTCATGTCCTCAGCTTCCTTTGCTCTGCACGCTAAGTTACTCCCCCTTCAGAGCTCAATCACAACACAATAAAACTCCAGACAGACGTCCCCAACCCCCGGGTCGTTTGGTACCGAGCTGCAAAAACGTGAACCAGAACTAAAACCAGGACTAAACCAGAACTACACCAGGACTAAAACCAGGACTAAACCAGAACTACCAGGACTAAACCAGGACTAAACCAGACTACACCAACAACCAGAACTACTAAAACCAGGACTAAACCAGAACTACACCAGACTAAACCGACTACCAGAACTAACCAGGACTAAACCAGAACTACACCAGGACTAAAACCAGGACTAAACCAGAACTACACCAGGACTAAAACCAGGACTAAACCAGAACTACACCAGAACTAAAACCAGGACTAAACCAGAACTACACCAGACTAAAACCAGGACTAAACCAGAACTACCAGACTAAACCAGGACTCAGAACTACACCAGGACTAAAAAAACAGGACTAAACCAGACACCAGAACTAAAACCTACCAGAACTACACCAGACTAAAACCAGACTAACCAGAACTAACCAGGACTAAACCAGACTAAACAGACTAACCAGAACTAAAACCAGGACTAAACCAGACAACACAACTAAACCAGGACTAAACCAGAACTAACCAGACTAAAACCAGGACTAAACCAGGAACACCAGGACTAAACCAGTAAACCAGACTAAACCAGAACTAAAACCAGGACTAAACCAGAACTAACCAGGACTAACCAGGACTAAACCAGGACTAAACCAGAACTACACCAGAACTAAACCAGACTAAACCAGAACTAAAACCAGGAAAACCAGAACTAAACCAGACTAAACCAGAACTAACCAGAACTAAAACCAGGACTAAACCAGAAACCAGGACTAAAACCAGAACTAACTAACCAGGACTAAACCAGACTAAACCAGGACTAAAACCAGGACTAAAACCAGGAACTAAACCAGAACTAACCAGGACTAAACCAGGACTAAACCAGAACTACCAGAACTAAACCAGGACTAAACAGTCAGGACTAAACCAGGACTAAACCAGGACTTAAACCAGAACTAAACCAGGACTAAACCAGAACTAACCCAGGACTAAACCAGGTCTAGGACTAAACCAGGACTAAACCAGAACTACACCAGAACTAAAACCAGACTAAACCAGAACTAAAACCAGGACTAAACCAGAACTACACCAGACTAAACCAGGACTAAACCAGAACTACACCAGAACTAAAACCAGGACTAAACCAGAACTAACCAGGACTAAACTAAACCACTAAAAACTAAACCAGACACCAGAACTAAAAACTAAACCAGGACTAAACCAGACTAAACCAGAACTACACCAGAACTAAAACCAGGACTAAACCAGAACTACACCAGAACTAAAACCAGACTAAACCAGAACTACACCAGAACTAAACCAGGACTAAACCAGAACTACACCAGAACTAAACCCGGTCTAAACCAGGTCTAAATTAGGACTAAATCAGAACTAAACCAGGACCAAACCCAGGTCTAAACCAGGACTAAACCAGGTTTAAAACAGAACTAAAACCAGGACTAAACCAGAACTACACCAGGACTAAACGAGGTTTAAACCAGGCCTAAAACCAGGTCTAAATCAGATCTAAAACCAGGTCTAAACCAGGTCTAAATTAGGACTAAATCAGAACTAAACCAGGACCAAACCCGGCCTAAACCAGAAGTAAGACAGAAGTGAATAACAAAGGACTAAACCAGGTTTAAACCAGGACTAAACCAAGTCTAAACAGGACCAAAACCAGGTCTACACCAGGAATAAACGAGGTTTAAACCAGGACCAAACCAGGACTAAACCAGGTCTAAAACAAAAGTAAATAACAAAGGTCTAAACCAGATCTAAAACCAACACTTAACCATCAGGACTAAACTAGGACTAAACAAGGAGTAAATAACAGAAGACTAAAGCAGGACTGAACCAGGTCTATACCAGGACCAAACCAGGACTGAACCAGAACTGAACCAGGTCTAACCCCCCTGATTTAGTCTTTTCGTATTTTCATTTTTAAGCAAAACATGTCCTGCCTCAGTACAAATATATTGTAAAAGCAGCTCTTAAGGTAAAAAAAAAAGAAAAAGTCCACTGTAAAGTCTTTGTCCGATAATCAGGAAGTGTTCGCATGCTAGTTGTTGTGAATAATTAGAAGGTTCTGAATGAAGTAAAAGAGGAATAACTTTGGACGACTGTTGGTTTTCGTTAAACCTGTTTTTCCTTTTTGGCAGTAAAAGCAAAAGCAAAAGTCCGTGTGCTCCGATGGGAACCTGAACTCTGAACCGGCTCTGAACCGGCTCTGAACCGGCTCTGAACCGGCTCTGAACCGGCTCTGGACCGGCTCTGGACCGGCTCTGGACCGGCTCTGGACCGGCTCTGGACCGGCTCCTCTGCTCCGTGTGTGAGATCGGAGTCGAGAGCCGAGATCAAAACGGAAGAGGAGACGACGAGACAAAGCACGAATGAAACACTTCATCACCACACAGAGCAGATAAAGATCCAGACCAGGACTGAACCAGGA